GTTAATGCTAACACAAACACACTCAGTTCCAAAATCACCGCTTTCCTTACAATTAACACAGGTGCATTGTGGTATTTATAAACTTATAAACTTTATTTACTTTACAACAATTATGAAACAAGTTATTCAACTTATATTAATCACTCTTGCTGGTCCGGATGTTAGCGCGCGGGGGTCTTTGTGTGGGAGGAAACCGGAGTAACCGGAGAAAACCCACGTGGTCGGGCAGGTGACCCCATACCTTTTCACGTCCGATCGGGGAATCGAACCCCGGCCGCCTTGGTGAAAGGCAAGTGCGCTATCTGTAATGTCGTTTTATACACAGTAATGTGATCCGACAGCTACAAAACATGTTACTGTATATGAAAAGTTTTAATGAGGATGCCATGTGCCGTGTAGATTTCATCGTGATTACCTCAGTACGCATGCGTGTTAATATTACAGAATGATATGGGTTTCTGTTACACACAAATTGGAGGGAGAAAACTGCTTACGTATGCAGCAGTTGTCGGCAATATAACCTGCATTGATGGTGAAATTGAGACTTAAGGTCATAGGAGTGTATTGCTAAACGGCAATAGGAAGTACATCCCTAGTTGAAAATCCACTGTAGGGAGACATTATCACAATTTCCGCATAGTCTAATGTTTGATATTAAAGTGATGAATATCGTATGCATATTATAGACAGAACAGTGTGTTCTTTCAATATTAAAGTTTTGCAAAGCAATCCAGGCATTAATTCAGTTGTTTTTTAATCAATGAGTCACATGTGTTCATTTTTTCTGTACTTCAGAAACCGGCTACCTATTTCACCACTGTGAAGTTTTTCAAGAACGATGACTCTTGCATGCAATTACTATGCGTATATGCTTTTATTATAAAATGTCAATTTTTAATCGTTTATAGATAATTAATTGTACACAATTTCAGCATTTATGAAATTGATATACATTAATGCAATACTAATCTATGTTAGTATCATTTTTGTTGACATTATTTTGCCAAAAAATGTGTGTTTCATTTTTTTTCAAAATTCACTCCTTTTTACATAAATTTCCTTTTAAAATCCTTAAATTTCTGACAATCTATATTTTTTTGTGGCAGAAAATTTTCTTTACTTCAAAGCAATATATCTACAAAATTTGAATAAATTCTACTGAGAAATGGCGACACAATCCTATTACCTTAATCTACCATTCCTAATAAGAATGCCAGAGTTATGCCCCTTGTGACCAGTCAAGTTTTATTCAGATCAGGCTTGTATTTAAACTGTAATACTGTTCATTTTTTTCTCAATGTAAAGAAAAAGGTATGGGAGAGAAAAGCATAAACAGGATCTGTGGGTGAATTATTTAAATTTCTTTAATATTTATGAGGAAAAAAATATAAAAAAATAATTGGATGGTTTGAGGTTTACGACACCGCATAACAATGACTTTATATGTTATGTTATGTCGTCTGCATGTAAAAGGAACACATTTATTAATCGGGAGTTATAGAAATATTGCATTCATTGTAAAAAGCGTAGGCCTAGAAATGACAATTACCTGAAATATTTCATATGTTCTTTTTCAAGTGTGATGGTATTTATTCATTTAATTGAAAAACCACAGCATATAATTCTGTAATGAAATATGACACAATCTAAAGGTACAAGGTTTCGAGAAATACATAACCAACTCAAACCGAATACTTTATGGAAGCTAGCGCTTCGATTTCCCCAATACAGAGAATATATACAATATATAATGACAGTAGTTGTAACCATCCGTAGCTTGACTACCATGGAATTATGTCATCAATGTGGGTTTTTATATCAAGACCCAATGACACATCTATTGCTGCATTGTACTTATACTTCCGAGTTGAGGGACCAACTATGGTGCTGTATAGTTAATATCAAGGATATACTGTTTAGTGTCTATTTACACTCTCTCCCAGATCTTGAAGATATTACACATAATGATTGGAGGAAATATAACCTACAAAATTAGTGAGGAAGAGTTGAATGATTTCGGGATAAAATCCATCATTTATGTGTACAAGATGTGTAAACTAGTTTATACTTAATGTATATAATAGTTATGATTAAAAGTTAAATACATACATATCTAATTTAGAATTTTCTTTAAGTTATGTGCACTTAGTAAAAGATATCAAATGAGATACTATATGAACTATACTACAGATTAAGATGCATGGGAGTATACATATGTGGGCCCGTAACAACTCGCAGGTAGGGATATCCCCCACCCTTATGTGATCCAGACCCACAAATGTATCTTCCTCGTTTATAGTTTGTATGTTACAATAAATGTCTTAATTGCATGTATTAACAAATACAACGATACATTGATTTATGTACATACATGTAGTCATGTATCAGTATTACGTACCACGTATCAATACAATTTATTATAGTTTACTTGTCTTGTGCAAATCAATTTACAATCTGTATATTAAAACTTTTTAGGTTTACTCTAAAATGTTTTATTATTTTACACCTTACATACACATCCTATATATAAAGTGTATATTTATGTAATGCATATTATGTTTTCGTGTATATATGTACCAAATACTTTGTATATATGCTCCACATTACTTTGTAATCTTCATCTTGGGAGGCAATAAAGAGAATAATAATGCTCCGCCTGCAGTGAATAATTTCCCCAAATAAAAGTCTCAAACAAATGTTAACGAAAACACCCACATAAATTATTAGTTAGATTCATGTCAATAACCATCTACTGTTTGTGACGAAACAGACTGTAGCTTACAATGATGTAACGGTTTATTGAAAGGCATATCAACTAGAATACGCAAGTATAAGGGATTGCTTTCAATAAGGCTGTTTTGGGCCCTTTCTTCATCAGCAAAAGAAAATATTTTATTTCTTTGAATAACTTCCCTTATAGAAGAGAGTTTTTTTTTATGAATGTAGGAAATGTATGTATCAAATGCAGTTCATTGAACATTCCGGTTTGAAATAATTCAAAAATTGAATCTTGGTTTTTTTCTTCAATTTCATGGCTGGTCCATGATGAATTGAGTTTGTCTTGAGGAAAAAATAAAATAAAATGTAAAGCAGTCCATGTTGAACTTTTCAAGCGAAATTTCGGAAATATTCTGAAGATTTCATCTATTTTAAAAACGATAACAAGAATGATTACTAACCAGTACAATTATAACGGTTACAAGTCAAAAACAAACAGAAAAGAAATCACACATACTCACTATTGTACAATATATACACAAATATTCTACCTAATTCTGATAGTATGTGTCAATTGAAATGAACGTAATGACAATTTCTTTTCTTCTGAAGCAATTAATCAATGAAACCACTGTGGAATTCCTCTAATTCATATAAAATATATTTTGATAACGCGCGTATTTATCATTTCTGCCACTTTTGTAATTCTACATGGTTTAAAGTAGTTGTCAGTAGATTTTATTTTCATATCTCATATCATTTTTATGATACCTTTAAAAATACTTTCATCTTATTTGCAAATTGTAAACTCAAGAAGTTCAAAGGAAGTTTATAATAAGAGACGCCACATAAATCTATTTATCATGTTTACATACAGTATGGAAATATATATCCCGCTTAATACTAGCCTCTATCATAAGCGGAAAGAATGAACTTTCACGACAGATATTCTTTCCTCAGTAGCGTCAGGCCTTTGCTATTATCACTACTGTGATAAGCTTGTCTGTTATCACTTGCATTGGTGATGGTCACGGTAGATTCACTTCTTCAGAACGTGACCTTGAGTGTTAGATAGATTAATCCTATCTGGGACAAAGGCATCCATCTCTGTTGATGATACGTCATCCAGATAAACCGTTCCAACTTTAAACTTGTGTACATCACAAACAAAAAGATTATCCTTGTGACGTAGATCACCATGGTACGGGAATAGCCATCCTTTTCCAGTGCACACGGATTAATCTCGGTCTCGCGAAAACGTTGATCTGTATTGCATCAACCATGAGTTTTGAGTATGTCTTTTTTCATTACCTCGTCTGATTTGTGTTTATTCATCTTGTTGTTATTGCTGTTTCTTGTTGTTTTTCAGGGTTTTTTTCGTTTTCTTTTACTCATTAAAATTGATCAGCTGGTGGTTTCTTTTCAAAGGAAACAGACCAAAAAGATAATAGATTAACGTTTTATTGAATATAACAATCATTAAGTATTCAAAGTAAAAATTAACACAAGCGATTAGAACATTAGGCAGAGCCCGTGTTATGTAACTAAATAAAGACAGAGCCCGTGTTATGTAACTAAATATAGACAGAGCTCGTGTTATGTAACTAAATATAGACAGAGCCCGTGTTATGTAACTAAATAAAGACAGAGCCCATGTTATGTAACTTAAATATAGACAGAGCTCGTGTTATGTAACTAAATAAAGACAGAGCCCGTGTTATGTAACTAAATAAAGACAGAGCTCGTGTTATGTAACGAAATAAAGACAGAGCTCGTGTTATGTAACTGAATAAAGACAGAGCCCGTGTTATGTAACTAAATAAAGGCGGAGCCCGGGTTATGTAACTAAATAAAGACAGAGCTCGTGTTATATAACTAAATAAAGACAGAGCTCGTGTTATGTAACGAAATAAAGACAGAGCTCGTGTTATGTAACTGAATAAAGACAGAGCCCGTGTTATGTAACTAAATAAAGGCGGAGCCCGGGTTATGTAACTAAATAAAGACAGAGCTCGTGTTATGGAACTAAATAAAGACAGAGCTCGTGTTATGTAACGAAATAAAGACAGAGCTCGTGTTATGTAACTGAATAAAGACAGAGCCCGTGTTATGTAACTAAATGTAGACAGAGCTCGTGTTATGTAACTAAATATAGACAGAGCCCGTGTTATGTAACTAAATAAAGACAGAGCTCGTGTAATGTAACTAAATATAATCAGAGCTCGTGTTATGTAACTAAATAAAGACAGAGCTCGTGTAATGTAACTAAATATAATCAGAGCTCGTGTTATGTAACTAAATAAAGACAGAGCCCGTTTTATGTAACTAAATAAAGACAGAGCCCGTGTTACGTACCTAAATAAAGGCAGAGCCCGTGTTATGTATCTAAATAAAGGCGGAGCCCGTGTTATGTAACTAAATAAAGACAGAGCCCATGTTATGTAACTAAATAAAGACAGAGCCCGTGTTATGTAACGAAATATAGACAGAGCTCGTGTTATGTAACTAAATAAAGACAGAGCTCGTGTAATGTAACTAAATATAGACAGAGCTCGTGTTATGTAACTAAATAAAGACAGAGCTCATCTTGGTATGCTTTATTCTAGAAATCGTCTGAATTATAATGCTATTTTATAGGTAAGTATAACTTAACATCAGAAGGGCCATTTACTTATAGAGTGACAATTAATACAACTAATGTTAGTTATACGTTTTGACTAACTTAAATTACAATCATATTTCAATCTTTCTTCGTAGGCTAAAATATCAGGATTTAACACTAATCAGTACAGGTGCGATACAAAATAAGATTTTTTTTTCACAATGAACAGTAAGAAAAAGACTTGCCAAATGTCTGGCCATATTAAAAAGAGCTTTTTAGACTAGCTATTGATATACCACTGAAAACATTTCGTACAAAAGTAGAGTCTTCTGCTAATGAAAATACAATATGGAATCAAAGTTAACTTTGTGCTGCAGCATTGAGTCAATCACACAAATAAGGTTTGTCCTGTTATGTTGAGTCAATCAAATACAAAAAGAAACAAAGCTTTGTAATGTATAATTGAGCCAATTACAATGTAACAAAGGTCTATACAGTAATATTGAGTCAATTAAATATAAATGTAACAAAGCTCTGTACTGGAATATTGAGTCAATTAAATAGAAATGAAACAAAGGTCTTTATAGTTATATTGAGTTAATTAAAAAGAAATGTAACAAAGCTTTGTACTGAAATATTGAGTCAATTTAATAGAAATGAAGCAAAGGTCTGTACAGTTATATTGAGTCCATTAAAAAGAAATATAACAAGGTCTGCACAGCAATATTGAGTCCATTAAATACTAATATAACAAAGCTATGTATTATTATATTGAGTAATCTAAATAAAAATATAACTAGGCTCTGCGTTTTAATATTGAGTCAATTAAATTTACATTTAACAAAGCTTGGTACTGGAATATTGAGTCGATCACATAATTAATCAACATGTATGGCCAAATTGCGCTTATTACGTAACTTAGTTTATGAATATTGTGTCAATTAGATGGCCGTGGACGATCATATTGAGTCAATTACATAGCTGTGTAAGGTTATATTGAGTTTATTATAAAACTGTGTACAGTAATATGGAGTGAATTACATAGCTGTGTACTGTAATATGGAGTCAATTACATCTATATACGGTAATATTGAGCCAATAATTTAGCTGTATAAGGTAATATTGAGTCAATTACATTGCTGTATAAGGTAATTATGAGTCAATTACATAGCTGTGTACTGTTATATTGAGTTTATCACATGAATTGCTTTGTATTGTAATATTCTTCAATATATAAGATGATTGCTGTAACAGTCTAGTAGAAAATGAAATAAATTTTACGTTCAAAATTAATACCAATATATTTATGATGGTATCTCAAAAAATATTGCAACAAAATAAAAAGTAACAAAATCATAACAGTTGGGTACAAGTATTATCTGAAACGTGTTATATCAGGACATTTCTGTTACAGTTATACAATGTGCCCTGTATACTGTCAAGTATGACATGAGTATAATGATAATAAGAACAAATAACGTCATCATACAGAAGTCGCATGTCATACATATAAAACAAAGGCATCTGGGATAACCCCATTGCATTGGTCTGTTAGTATTGAATCTGTGTCCCAGTGAAGCATACAAAAATGTCACGTAATGGTATAAATCATCAATATGATCGTTAACATTAATAGTGAGATAATGGAACACAGAGGAAACATAACAATACAATAATGTACATTGGTAGGCACAAGGAATATACAGTTTAATGTCATACTAACAAGGGAAAATTAACATAGCCAACCACAATGTTTAATTTAGAGGGAGACGACACAGAACATAAAAAACAATGTAATATTGACGTAGACAGGCATCAAATCATTATGTCCTACGTAGACAGGCACCAAACCATTATGTTCTACGTAGCCAGGCACCAAACTATTATGTCCTACGTAGACAGGCACCAAACCATTATGTCCTACGTAGAAAGGCACCAAACCATTATGTCCTATGTAGACAGGCACCAAACCATTATGTCCAACGTAGACAGGCACCAAACCATTATGTCCTACGTAGACAGGCACCAAACCATAATGTCCTTAGAAGCGTCGTGCAATTTTATGTGAAACATATATAAACACAACAGATTCAACAAATAGTCCAACAATTAACGTATTGCCTTACCAACTACATAGGGCTCAAGGTTTTGGAAATATAAATGTTAACGAAAATCAAAAATTATGAATGAAATAAGTTGGTTTCTCGAAACACAAGCGTTTAATAACAAGAGCATTAAAGGATTTAGATAATTTGACAAAGGGAGATGACTGGGGTATATTTATCAAAATGTGTCACAAATACTCACATCAGCAACACGCTATGGTATGTTAGGTAAACATAACGATAAATTAGAAGATAATACTGAAAGATGATAAACTATTTACTCTAAATAGATAACACTGTTGATACCTTATCTATCGAAGGTGTGTATTTTAAGACCTCCAATGAAATTATTCAATATATAAGTAATAGCCGTTGGGGTTTCACTGCAAATAGAATGTTTTCATAGAGATGAACAAAGCGATGTTCCCTCTATGTTCTGATTATAGTAAACACCGCAAAACCGGTTGTCCCAATATCTAAGGAAAACAGTGGGAAGTTTCTTTCTCAAGCATTGTTTCATTCCTCCATCCTAACCTCATACTATAAACATTGTCACTGGACATGAAGGTATCGGGGTTATCGATAATCATTGTGCATTAATTCGTGTAACAGAAGCGTAACCTTACAAACATTAATAACGAATACCGGGACATTTTCACCAAGTGTTAATTTTGCCCTTCACATTTAATTCCTATGTTTTATGCTGTTCACTTTTATTCGCTATTATGATAAATGTACCCTCTGAAATGAGGGCGAAAAAAAAAATTTGAACTGCAGCGAAAATTTCTCGGTATACGATAATTAGTTTACAGTCATGTTGGCTCTTTTTTCATTAGGTAATCTCTTTAATTGGTTTGTTTACATGATCACCATCTCCAAAAAGGTAGCGATTGGAAGCATCAATAGTGTTGTCACTACAGCTTTAAAGATGAAGCTGTAATGGGAACCTGTGATATCAGCTGTACTTGCCAGGGCATCGTAGCGGGGTGGTATACCTGCAACAGGGAAACATAAAAAATGTGGCTCGCACGAAACCGCAATGACAGTAGAGACGCACAATAGACAATTACTTCACATACAAAGTAAGAAAACACATATACACGATGCATATCCTTGTCATATAACCATTTCTGCCATTTATAACTCATTGGTGGTATTAAATGTCAAAAGAATGAAAAAAAACCTGTCTAAAGTGTTCCAAAACATTTAGAATAAAGCGAAAAAGAGAAATGTGTCTATAAACCCCTTTACAACACTACAAAAGGTCAGTACGGATAATCTGTCTTTACACCAGTCATATAAAACGTGCCAGAATTGATTCCAGCTACCAAGTTACGTCCAACCTCGGAGACTGTTGGTTCTCCAGCAAAGCCGACCTTTTTGTGATGTTAAGCATAATGACAAAATTTGAAATATATATGTCGGATTAGCCTCATAGCGGTTTTTTTTTTATACCTATACTGTATGTCGTATCATGTCGTCATATTATCCTCAAATTAAATAGTACATAATATGTTGGATCTTACGTATAAAATGAATGATTCCTTATATAGGGAAATTAACCTTCCATGCACAGCACTCAAACAAGAAAAGACTGTATTTATATAAAAACGAACATTTGTTATGAAAGCATCGAGAGCTTTTCTATAAGAACATTACTTATATTGTATTAGTATCCGTGTTTTACCTGTTTTGATTTCGAACCGGAAGTCTTCCAGCTGGCTCCTGACTTTGATGAATAACGTTTCCGAACTGGTATCGGATATTTGCAGGATACTAGACAGCGTCTCCCTTGTTCGGTTCGTCTGAGGAATATATGACATTTTTCTAAAATATTTTTTTTTATCATTTGTTGGAAATTAACGTTCTTTCAACCACTTGTTTCTATATATCACACAGTATGGTCTAAATAACTTTATGATTTGTATTTTCGTTGACAAATACAATAAAACGACCAGTCGGACTCTGAAAATTGACCTGTGATCTCAAACGTTGTAGGTATGACGTAAATAAATCAGTAGAACGCCGCTCACTTTCTACATCAGATAACGGAGGAAGCCAAAGGCGAAATCTTTATCGAAGCCAAATAATGTTTCAAAAACTGTTTCCAGTTATCTTTCGTTATATTTATTCTTTAATGATTATGCTTATTGGTTAATATCATATCATATATTTAATGAAAAGTATGACCGTGACAGCAGTTGGAATACAGTAGGTAGCACTCGTTGCCAGTTTTGGGAGCAATAAGTTATATGTTGACCGCCAAGATCGTCGGAGACACTGGCAATGGTGTTTTCTGCATTTATCCTTACTTATTTAGATAATATCATATACTTAAATCGTGTTGCCTTCACAACAGACACACATCTTAAGGTACGTGTGCTCCTCAAACACCAATAAAGAATTAGCACGCGACATAATGGTTATCCAAGTACCTTCATTTGTTAAGAGTGCCAGTCACACTATTGGCAAGATAATAACAATGACCTCCCCCATCCCCCACCCCAACTTTTAATTTCGGTTTGTGTACGACAATTGACCTTGACCTGCTAGCTCAATTTTTTAGAGCGACATTATTAGGATACGCGTTCCAAGGTTCCAATACTGGTCAGAATAGATTTATCAGAGCTATAGTCATGCCGAAAATAAAGGTAAAAGTTACAGTAAAGTTAGAGTTTATGGCTGTGATACGGTGATTCTGTAGTATGTTAGTAGCATGTGTCGGGAAAGGTGGGCTGTCTATCAGCGCTATGTTTGTACCTTATCAGTATCCTTACAAAAACCTACATTGTGATAATACAACAGCAACACAATGAAATAAGTGGGTCATTCACTAGCCACGGTTGATGTCAATCACGTTTTAAGTAGGTAACATATATCCTAAGTATACCCACCACACCTGGTGGACGCAAGGTAAACTTACTGTACACATAGGCTACGCTTTATGATTTGTTTACAAATATAACAAGGTAATTAACACAACAGAAAAAGACAGCACAATGAAGATAAGTTTGTTTTAAAAGTACTTCTTTAACATGCACTGTTTTGTATGCCACATTTGAGCTATGTCCTGTTTAGGAATGTATGGAACAGGATAGGTCTGGATATCAATAGTTGTTCGTAAAATACAATAGTGTTGTTGTTTGTAGCTTTAAGCAGGTCAACAAATCTATCTTTGCTCAATGCATTATTGTACAGGATTCTTTCTTTACTAAAACTGTTGGCCTATCATGCTCCTGATTTGTTTGTTGGATATATTCTAGAATTGTTTGTCAGAACTGTTATTTATGGTTCCTATATTTCTTATATATCAGACGGTCTGCCTCTGTGTCGGCTCCTTGACATTTGTATCGGGTGTCTACGTCACCTTTCTGATTTCTTTGTTAAATATGTTATTTATTTGTCAGACGTCCTACTGTTTTGCAGGTATCTTATTGTTTTTACTTTTGTACAGATACATTACCCGTTAATCAATTAATTTAACTGTGGAACATTTTTATAACATTATTTATATTATCAATACTAAAAGTTACTTCCCAATGATTTTAAACTCACAACATCAGGATCTGTGCTCTTGCGGACATGAAATCCCAGTAGCGAGTCATATACCCCTTGTCCTGGGTAATATACCTAGACCTTTTTAGGTTTGTGATAAATAACAAACATATATACTGTAGGGAATGTAATGTACCTGACAGGACAAAACCATGGCGTCGTTGGTCTGGCCGGTGGACAACATATCTGTATCCAGTGATATCGCCTCACACGCCACTCCAGACACACGACATTCCACTTCATCCCGTTTTCCTTTGACCCAGAAATTTGGCAGGCAGGAGACAGTTGGAACAAAGCCTTCATCTAAATAAATACAATTGAATCATGTTCTCAGTTTCTACGTAAATTCAATAACGGGTTCTACCATCAGCCATCCGAAACATTGTAAATTAGTCTACGATGTAACATCCCTGTTGATGAATGGCATACTATTTTTTAAACAAAAGTAGATACTGCTGATAATTCCCGTATCAACCTCGTATTTTTATGTTTGGTTTTGTATCTATCTTGTAAAGATACAATGGAAATCTACTTCGTATAACTTCATCAAACAAAACTGGTAGCAGTTCAAGATGATGCGGCTCTAGTCGAAGACAGGAAATAGTTTCGATCACAGAAGATACAAGACAGTAAGCAAGTTTTGTCTCCGACACTGATACTCCATAGTGTAGTCCGAATTATACTGACGTTTTATCGACTTTTTTATATCAGTCTGTCGATCGTCGATTAACGTCAAATCTTCGGCCCTCTATAATATGCGGGAAATAAGCTACCCGCGCCCGGGGCGCACTTCAAACTGATATTTTAGAAACAAATCGTCACTTTCACACACATGTCGCACATGGATCGAAAGATCTATTCTTTATGCGCTAGGTAGTGTCAATAACATGTTTCAAAGATCATTACGAACAGTATTTTCCAACGTTTTCTATACCAACCCATGTTTTTAATGGAAATTAGGCCATGAGCAATGTCACATGACGAGATCTCGCGTTACCGAAGGTATTTCCCAACGTTATGACGTAGGCCGGCGAGATTTAGTCACGTGGCATTAGAAGGCGGGTCTATCAAAAAACTAGATTAAAAACATGTTTTTAGTGATTGTATTGGTTGTTTGAGGCATGTAATTTATGTTCATCTTGTGCATAAAGAATAGATCTTTCGATCCATGTGCGACATGTGTGTGAAAGTGACGATTTGTTTCTAAAATATCAGTCAATAAATTAAAACGTCAGAATAATTCGGACTTTCCATAGTCGAGCCGCTTTAAGGAGATATTGCTTATGTCAGGACACACCTGTCCAGGAAATCATAATATTCAAAATTGACTGGCCCAAATATTGCTAAATGGGAGCTAGGCAGGGCTTTACGACTGCTGTCCGACAAATGACCAAATATACGGAAAGTTTTGTTGAATATATCAAGAAAGTACGTCGTTTTGCATTGTATTGAAAAAGTTATATTTGTCCACGTCGTTAAGGCAGTGGTATCTCGAATGGAACAGAAAACTTTACATCTTTTTACACTTGTCGAAGGGAAACATGATTAACTGAGAGGAAACAAAACACCGCGTTTCCTTATCATAATGACCAATATATCTTATCAGAGAATAATAACAACAGTGAACGTTGTTGCTGTCAGGGAAATATGACTTGGGAAGTTAAAGAAGAACAGAGTATGTATGAAATCTGATAGCCAACGTGAAAGGACTGGGAACTTACCACTCCTTTAATTACAAATAGATTGTGAAACACTATAGGAAACTTACGAACATTGGTAGAAAACCCGAGAGTGTGGGTATCTGTAAATTTGTCTGTTGTCCTCACGCGACAGGCCACATTTCTATCTTCAGAGCCCAAGTCCACGTCGACAGTAGCTGTTCGAGCAATTTTGATGCCGTTTATAAGAATGACGTATGATATGCTAAGATCTTGCCTTCGTGTTGCACAAACTAATTTATAAGTGCCGGAAGTGAGGTTAACTTCATGTAACGGGAGGTCAGGTATCCCTGAATCTCTGTTTACTGTGACTTCCGGTCCTGATATCACATCTTGATCGATTTTCCGTAATGTTAAAGATATCTCACCGATATCCCCTGAAAAGTTAAAATTTATACTATTAATAATTAAAGCTAGAACATAATGAAATATAATCTTAAACTTCCCGCTTATTTGCTTAACTAAGAAAAGGCGATATGAGTGCGTGTGAATGTTATGCCATCCCTGTTGTATATTTATTAAGCCGACCATTGTAACAATTCATAATTTCATCGAACGAGAAATGTTTAATGAATATAACTCTCAGTTCGCTCATCCGAGGGATGGTTTTAAGTATTTCATAGTATCCATTATGCGTTAAATGAGAATGTTAATGCTTATTCCGATGGGCACTTGTCAGGATGATAACAATGTTTTCCTTGTCAATCTGGCCTACTTTTTGACATTCGGCCTTGATCATTTTTCGTTTATCGGCTATCTACCGAGTGTTATCTGATATGCTATCAGCTATGTATCTATGGTGTTGTTTATAACCTAGTGCATTACATATCTATCATATGATAATTATACTAGGACTAGTGTAATAACTGGCAGGGATAAAACGGTACATCCGTTACTGGGAAGATATTTAATAATATTTCAATTGATTTTTAGAAACTGCCAACAGCAGGGACCGACAATCTTGATTTAAGAAACCGTCAATCCTGACTGCAGCATCCCTTACCACAAGGGACTGTCAGTCCTGATTTTAGAAATTGTCCACCCTGAATGCAGGGTTCGCCATCCTTAATACAGTGAGCTCAACAGTAAATTAAACCGGTGCTCTTTTTTAGCTTCTTTGACAAAACCAAACGTTGCAGTATAATATTGCAAAAGTAAAATATGGAGGTACTTTGTTCTTAAACACTTTGTTCGGGAAACATGAGATGACTGAATATTACGTGACCTAATCGGTGTTTTTAAGCAGATTTTTTTTTTTTTTTCATTACAAATGTTGGTTATCTGAAGCCATTTAGTTTATCACAGTACGATAACTGTGATTGTAAATATGATCATGACGTCAGCAGTGAAGGTTGTTTATGATTTGGAGAAATACTACACAAGTGTTATTTTTTATCAGACATCGCAAACGACATAAAAAAATGCACGGAATACATCCACAATTTTAGATAGCTCACTTGAGGATGAGTTGCACCGCGCAATAAAGTAGTGCTAGCGACGACGTCATATAAATATGTTTATGTCTGTTGTGTTAGGTTATTTATATACCTACAAGTCTGTTTATACGTATAAACAATCATTTATGTTTAATAATCATCCTGCTTCCCGAATACTCGAACTCGAACGATGGCAGCTAAATCCATTGCAAAAACGGGACCAAAATATTGTATATTATTTCAATTCCTCAATCTGACCAGTGTCGTTCCAGTTAAACGGGGGATTTATATCAAAATGCTATAAAGGCTTTGTTACATATCAGCTAGGCACGAATATAACTGTATATTAGGACATGTCAGATTCAACACTGTGGTATACAACTGAACCAACAGTTTTACAGCTACGTGGCAACGCGTATGACTTTTGTCTTGTAAGAAGTTGAAAGTGTATGTTCAACCATAAAAACTACAATGTTAAATATCACACTGCTTACGAAAAGTACGAAATACATGTTCTTTTAACTTTGACATTACAAATTGTGTTATACTTATTTTTCAATTGTAGGCATTAATGCATTCATAAATATATCAAATTGTAGATGGAAATAAATCATTGAATTTGACGCGGATTATATTTAAACAACAATGTAAAACCTCGATCGTTGTTCTTATCGGCTTAGTATGGTATGCTATGCACCATTGATTTGGTCTTAACGCTGGCCCTATCAAACACTTTACTGATTCGGAAGGTGACATTGACCACCTTTGACAGTGTAGGTATCAATGACACGACTCACCTTTCATAACCTTGAGGGTTTCTGTTTTGTGGTATTGTACTTTTGTGCCGCAGGTATAGTTCCCCGAATCTGTGAGTGTTACTCCTGTAATTAAAGCATAACATCAAAATGGTTGTTTATATCATTTTTATAATATTTTAATGCCTAAGTATGTTTTAATGAAACCGCCAAATTGTTTTCTAATTCATTTGTCCATAAAAATGACCAAGTTAACATTGAGTATGTGTATGATTCTCGTACAATTTAACACAACCTACTCGGCATCATACTGTCTAAGAAGTAGAAGAATTCCTTTAAAACATGCCCCCACTTCAAATAAATTAAAACAGCCGTTTCCACTTACTCAGGCACAGTCGCTAGTTTAAAAATTAACATTTAGTCGAACAACTTCCTCCTGATAAGAAACCAATAGGTTCATTCAATTTACTAAAAGGTAATATCAGGTTGTGTATAAATGTATTTACTGTACATGTTACAACGTGTTACCTCCTTTACGAGAGTAGACTGGTCCTCTATTAACACACAAACGATGTCTGGCTGCCGTTCAGTTCACATTTAATCGGTATATTTTCTTATAATTTATTACTATTGGCAGTTAATCTATTGATTGATTTTTTTCCCCCAAATAAATAAGAACGGCAATAGAGTAATGCTGAATGTTCCTACACAGTATAAATGATATCACGCATACCCATTATCCGCGACAGACAATACAAACAAACAACTACAATACAGATAATGTCAAAGTTTACAACCATTTACATTACGGGTTATATATGGGAGTATATTTGATAAGGGGGTTTGTTTAAAATCAATGTTTTGGAAATTATTTTGAATCATAAGAATCAGAAGAAGCAGTGCTCACGTTTTGATATTTCTATTACAAATGTTTTGTTTTCTGGTCCCGTAGAAAAGTGATTAAGTTGGAAACCGTTATTAGGTTCGAGTCGTGTGTTGATTGCTAAACCGGTCATGACGTCCCCTTTCGTCACCGCAAAGAACACGGGATCAAACATCAACCGTTGTGGGTTAACGGTGACATCACAGGAGAAACGAAACATGTCCCCTTCCTCGATGATGCTTTGCTTCAGCTGACATAGGCACAGCTCTGTAACGTAACGAAATTAAAATTAGCTAAAATGATGAAATGATATTTATATCTGATGCCTTGTCAAGTATGACATTGCTACCCTAGAATGTCAGTTATTCTAACAAGTCTGCGATATAAAAAAAACACTTCAATTTTCATTGGTTCACAACCGTGTACTATTGAACATTCATCCATGCACCAGCATGTTCTCGTTAACAGAAAGCCATGCACATGCAAAGCTCTTCCAAAAGCCTCCCACGTATTGGAAGTGGTCTCGGATTAGCTTCGCTCTAAGTCCTATGAAATGAAAACAAGATATCAGGTGACCTACACACAGCTCACTTGTTTTCATTCGCTATATGGGGAGACATTTGGAAGAGCATGTACCGCGTATATACAAAAGTAAAATAATCCACACATTCATTTAGCGCGGGTTGTCTAAAATAATCGTTTTTCTTATAACCATCTGCACCGCAGGCATTTCAGACGTTATCGTTCAATCAATTTCACAATACAGAGCATTGATATTTGTAATATCTTGTAATGAACCGAGATATACATCTTCGGTTTATTAAAGGGTATGACTGAACATGACGTTATATCCTAGCAGCTCTCTTACCAAAGTAATATGACTTAAATGCATTTTCTTACGTTAAGCACTGAAGACTTGAGAAATATAACCGACCAAATTTCAAAATAATCCGAAGAATGGAAACGAATGAGAGATTATGTTTAGCAGATTGATCTTTAATTACGTATGTTTGTAAAACATCACAATATGTTTCATAATTTACTGTATATGAACAAAACGCCGTCATGTTTGCCAATCATCTTAAATTGAGGATGTGATTATTGTGACGTCAAAATGGGTATAATTACACATGTTATAGGTTATCACTAGTGCAACTAAAGTGAATAGTATTTAAATATTTTGTAGAAATGTACAATTCACGGCTGATTTGAATAAATAATTTTTTTTTAGTATGAATCAAGTTTTTTAATATTTTAATTTCGGTATTCCCCCAATGCTAGATCATTTCATGTTACTAGTATATCATATAAACTAAAACATGGACAGCACAGACAGTGATGACGTTGTATAAAAGTCCTTACTTAATCAAACTAAAACGCTGTACTTTCTGTTGTCAGTTAGACAACGTTAACGATATATGGTATTACTAATAGGATTTAGATATATTTTTGAACTCAATATGTACTGTTTTAATATTGTATAACAATTGGGTAAGGGTATATCATCGAACTCAGCATGTACTGTTACCGATAATGAAGTATGAAGGATGACCATGATGTTTTATCAAACGTATTTCATCATATCAGGTATGACTCATTCCCAAGGGCAATGCTCCTGGCATTCACCTTGAAAACGAGTTTTGTGTTTGATGTTTGCCTTAAATAAATATATATGTTATCTCGATTAAAGGTTGAGGTCGCCCGAACTCTTCATCCCTAGATGTGATATACCCTCCTCCTCTTCTGTTACATTTTATAACTAAGATAACTCGAAGGAAGTCTTTAAGGTCCCCCGTACTTTCCCGTCCTCGGTCGTTAAATTTTATAACAGATAGTATATGTACATACTCACTATTTAATATGCAATACATTAAAAACCACAATCCTGATATTTATTTCCCTGATTAACTTTAAATGTAACAATAGTTGATACAAATCGAGAACATTGCTTTTGTTTGCTTGTGGTTTAACTTCCTCGCTACGGCCAGAAACATATGAAGAACTGTTATTATGAAATAATTATGAGATGCCTAGACAGAATCCGCCGTTGAGTTTGGTTTGGTTGGTTTAGTATTGTTTAACGTCCTATCAACAGCTATGGTCATTTAAGGAAGGCCTCCTCTGTGTGCAAGATGCATGCGTGTAGTGTATGCGTATGTGTTTAGGGAGGCAGCGATATGTTCGTGTAAGTCTCCTTCTGATAGTGCGGAACTGATGCCGACTTTATAGTGCTACCTCACTGAAACATACTGCCGAAGACACCCAGCAGGACACCCCACCCGGTCACATTATACTGATAAAGGGCGAACCTATCATTTTTACAGATTCTGGTATGTCTCGACCATAAGACAGAACCCAAAGCCTTCCTCGCAGGGGCGAACGCTCAATTAAAGGCCAAAAGTGGGGCATTGTCAAGGGAGACATTAGGAAGAAGAAAGTTTTTTAGAGAGAAGAGAAAAGACAAGATCCCAAATGAAGTCGCCTATTACGGTCATGCGATGGGGGCAGCAGGTACAATAATTTCACCCTACCTGTAGGGACTCCGCCGGAGAGAAAAAGTAAATAGGAAGGAAAGAAAGAAATAAGGAACGAAAGGAACGAAACGAAGCGAAAAAGATCCCAAGTGTTGCTAAGGAGGCAGCAGATAGATTTTGGACTCTACATTGTCCTCCTCGTAAAGATATGTCGCCTTTTATGATACACATAGTGGAATACAGCATATCTTGATTCTTCAATGTCCACTAAACAGAAGACAAGGAAGAACTGTCCTACTAGTGGTCCAATATGTCTGCTTTACGCTTGACATTGTAATCACTGGAGCCAGTATAGTCCACAATGGATCTCAATGAGTTCTTCTTTTTATAGACTTTTGGAGCACGCTACATTGTTTGGTTATGAAGTTGTTTCTATTCTATTTCATGGAGTATGATTGCAACCTTTCCCTAATAATCGTCCGAGATCGCAAGTGTCTTTCCTTTGTCAACAAGTAAATTCATGATATATTTGAATACCACAGCTATGAAGTGCAATGTGTTATCCTTTAGTTATATTGTATGCTTGTTATTTGAGACATTTAATGATCCAGTCACCTGGATCAGGAATGATAAGATAATAAATCTCATATTTTACACGATATGATTTCGTAAAGTGCACTTTTTATCAGGAACAATGGCTAAGTTCAGAAAAAATAAGTAAGCTTTTTATGGAAGGAATTTTTAAAATATTGTATTTTGTGATATAATTTTCTTTCCACGGTCTAAAGAGAGAAAGTATTACAAAGACAATATAATGTGGTTTTAACCTCGACCTATCTGGAAAGGCTATCTCAACTACGCCGGATATTGACTATGTACGGTCACGGCATCGAAATACGAGTAAGCTCTGTATACTACACTGATCACGAATGACCATGAATGTCTAGACACGCGAGTCCGGTCAAGCCTGTTATGAGTGGTATAGACATGATTTGCCTAAGGACCATGCCGTGTTGTTCACCTTGGACAGAGTAGTTGTGCTGATTGTTTCTCTTGCGTTGTGCCAAAATAAACATATCTTTGGTCTGGAAATAGTTTGAATGTGTACATTGGCACCAGAAAGTGTACGCCATGCTAACATATCGGTCAACGAACATACGAATATTGATAAGATTAACCTAAATAATTTTAAGGTTGTCTTTTATTTGTTAAGTTCAATCTAAAAAATACTGTGTTTTCGTTTCTACAGAACAGAACTAGAATGCAAATTTCATTAAGAAGACTATGCCGGACCATCAGTGATACCTGGTCTATATCAAGTCCTGTGATTGGTTTCCCTGATCGTGTTTTGAAATACAGAATCTCTCTATCAATTGGTATCATATTCAAAACATTATTGATGTTTGAACAATATTATTTCATAACTGAAAAAAAGTGAGTGATCTGTTTTGTTAAGCCCTTCTGTATTACAAGAGCCAACATATTCGGATGAGCAAATGTAAATGTTTGAGTTTATGTGATGTTTCGCTAGTTATGGGACCGGATTTCAAGCATCCCATTTACGCAATCCGCTTGAATATTTACTTTGTAATATTCTACACGTGAACCATACAAAATGATATGTCTGTGGAAGATGAGGTAACGAATTATTTGTCAATGAAACATACTGAAATATATATTTGTCACTGCGTTAATTATATAACTATACTAAATGTGGAATTAATATCAGCTACGAAGGAGATCGTCCGGTTGGTGATCGATAACTAAGATTCGATTTCACTGAACCTTCATACAGATTGGCTGTTCTATATATACAATAACAAGCCGAGGTCCACTCCAAGCTACTTTTTAAGAAACAGCTTTTCATTTCTAATATGTCTTTCTCAAAAAGGTAAATAGAAGTATAATACTGCTTTCATTCATTAATAGTCATGCAAACTGTGAACGTTCAAGCAGACTAAGAACACTAGTGTTTCATGGAATTTTAACTTTCCAGACGGAATTCATATTGACTATGTTAAACCTAACAAATACACGTATATCTATTAACCTTAACATACGAACCTCTGTTAATCCTAACAAACACACGTGCATCTATTAACCTTACCATACGAACCTCTATTAAACCTAACAAACACGCGTACATCTATTAACCTTCCCATACGAACCTCTGTTTAACCTAACAAACACACATACATCTATTAACCTAAACATACGAACCTCTATTAAACCTAACAAACACGCGTACATCTATTAACCCTACCATACGAACCTCTATTAAGCCTAACAAACACACGTGCATCTATTAACCTTACCATACGAACCTCTATTAATCCTAACAAACACACGTGCATCTATTAACCTTAACATACTAACCTCTGGTAACCGTAATTAACATATGTTAACGTTAACATCCGAACTTCTAATAATCTTAACACCCAACCCTCAGTTAATCTTTACAAACACACGTACATCTTTTAAACTTAACACCCAAGACTCTTTTAAACTTAACAACCGAAAGCTCTTTTAAAACTTAACAAACATATGTACATCTTTTAACCTTAACATCCAACCTTCTGTTACGCTTTACAAACATAAGCACATATTTTAACCTAAACAACTGAACCTCTGTTAAACTCTCATTATAAAAGTAGGTACATATTTTAACCTAAACAACTGAACCGCTGTTAAACTCTCATTATAAAAGTAGGTACATATTTTAACCTAAACAACTGAACCTCTGTTAAACTCTCATTATAAAAGTAGGTACATATTTTAACGTAAACATCTAAAACTCTGGTCAACCTTAAAATAAAACATGGATATCATTGCAACTGAACACTTTAACCTAAGCTCGAAGTTCCTAGAGACTAATGTGTCCTCCTCTAACCCCGGTCATCTACAACTTTGTTTGCTAGTTAGCTTTAAACTTGTCGTGTCCACCTCACCTAAACCCATCCTATGTGTTATTCCTATCCCATCTAAACCCATCCCAAATCGTCCTAGATATGAGTTAATAATTACAAACCTGAAATAGAATGTAACGAAGCTTTGCCTTTAAATCGCATCAGTATAATGCGACGTGTTTTTGCTTATTGAATGATAATGTTGTTTAAACTTAGGAAGCCATGTGATTCAAGGAAATGTTTTTTCTGTATAGCTAAAACGAAGTAGATCATGGTTACGGGTGTGAGTCTGAACAATGTCGGGTAGGACATCAGTGATAGTTGATCAGACGACAGCTAACCTGACAGTGGTAAGTATAATACATCGGTACACGCTGTACATATTGGTCACTGTAGGATGAATCTCTCGACACAGATAGCTTGGTCACCTGGTTTATATAATTAACCCAGCCAATGAAACAAATATTTCATAATACATATAAGTTTGATGCTTCACATTATCAATGGATAAGAAGTGTTTTTACTCACGGAAGCAGAAAAACTCGGCTATCAATAACACTACCGTCTTCATCTTAAATCCGTCAGATACACACTGTCAATAATCACACATGTAAGCACACATGAATTACACATGATGCATGTTGAGGGTTACTCCTTTTGTATGCGTGCGGTCCCTGATAGCGATGTACTTAGCTAATAGTACATCGGGTAGATTAATGGTTAACAGGCAATGTCATCCTACTTGAGGGTATTTACACAATCGTTTTAAATGGCGTCTCTTAAAGCAAGGACTGGCTCACATGATTTAATCTTTGTGATTTCCTTTTCTGTTTTTCCAGATCATTATATGTGAATGCCTCGATAAAGCCAGCTATTATGAAAACGGAAGGCGCACACGAACATAAGGACATTTGTCATGTAGACGCATTATGGATCCTTTTTCTTTTATTAACAATTATGAGATCCTTATATTCTAACATCTATTGTCAAATGACACAAATTGACTCCCTTATTTACATTTGGTCAAAACGATACAGATACCCACTAGGAATGGCCAGAGTTCTAGTAGCTTTACATTAAAGGATTTGATTTTCTGTCAAATTGAATTAACATTGATAGCGGCGGCACACACAAGTTGATACATTGACCTCATGCAGAATGAAACAACAAGAGAATACCGAAGTGTCAAAATCGAATTCGAACTCAAAGTGATGACACTGGGGCAAAAGATTACGAAGAAAATACTTATACGGAGAGTAACAAGTACAAGGAGAATAAGACCAGGTGCCCGGAAAGGTATGCGTCTGCTGCACTACCTGTCACCCAAATCTAGGTCAAGTACAAGTAATGTCACGTCCTCAAAACCAGAACTCGGGTAGTGACAGCAAAACACAAGAAACTCTTATAAGCATAATAAAAAAAAATCGACTTTTATATCCGACAGAGAAAGAGCATCAATTGAATTGCATCCTCTGTCAAATGATAGTTACAGTAAATATTAGGATATTTACCACTCTCAATTCATATCAGTGAGAATCTGAATTAAAGAGAAGTTAACACCTTTTGAATATCATTTAACTTTCCAGTATTTTTTGTCAGATTAAGTATTGTTTAACGTCCCATCAACAGCTATGTTCATTTTCTCTTTCGATATCTGGGCCGTGATTCAACCAAACCTTCCTAAAACCAGACGGTAAGGAGTCATGTTCCTTTGTTCCTCTGCAGGCATCACATAAGAAAATTCCATTGATTTTTGGTACATAAAGTAACATGCATGCCTTACGTTTACGATATAACTACAGTGCTAATGGCACAGTGTACTTACGTTGACCGGGTAGCTCAGTTGTTTAGAACGACAGTATACTTATTTCATAGTAATACATAGTTACAGTGCTTGGCAGTGGTATGTAGATCCTTAATACATGTTTCAGCAGTGCCAGTTACAGACTGTGTGAAATCATTTAGCCGTAGTACCATACACAGGTATTAGAAAGCGATTGTCAAACTGACCCAGTATTAGTCAGTATCTAATTCGAGACTGCCGAACAATCGAATTCATGTTCTGTGTAATACCAAGATTAATAAGGTATCAACAACCTTGTTTTCCTTTATTTCAAGTAAATATTAAGGTGTCCATGTATGTTTCACAGTGTGCCGCTTTTATCTTTATTCGGACGCTTGCTATTCGCGAAACACATTTAGCGAAAGAACATACTCACAGACTTATTCTTTGTTTACATATTTAGGAATTGTTTTCAAAAACGATATTTTGCTTTAAATGCACCTAGGTATAATAAAACGGGTGCATCAAACGGTTCTATATAATCAAGTGTGTAGAAGAATAGTTAGATATACATGTACTGAGACACACTATCTGGGGCACATTTGTCGAACAGTAAGATAGTATATCATCCACCGTTTAACCCAATTTTAACGATATCTTTGTAAAGTACCACTTAACTCTGACAAAGGCTATTTCTTTTAATTTTGATAAAAAAAGTCAGTAAATACATAGCAACATTGATTAGATATAAATCTACCTATTTGTGCAAAGGGTGATGTTTTTAGCATGTGGCATGGAAACTTGATAGCGCAAGATTTATTTTTCATTCAGTTAACGAACAGGGCAAACTGTGGGATGCTGATGTTTATTGTAATTGTATCTCAGAATGTTTCTTCCATAGTTAGCTGTGTAAATCAATACACAACTATTGTGATGCTGACAACGGAGCCCGGCTATGTTCCTTGCAACTTGTAATCCGATCTTTGACGAAATTGAGTTTGAAATTGATTCCTAACAAATTGTTTTGTTAATACTTAAAAAGTTAATTAATGCATAATTGAAGAATTTACGAATGTATACATTGAAATTTTATCATCTTCGTACTGTTTACATCGAAACAACTTCAGCCTCGTTCTGAAAACGTTTGTGAATTTGATCAAGATGAGTCACCGATTTCAGAAATTGATCACATCTCTGAACCATTCCTTGTTGGCTAGAGTGACATTGTAAGATTTTAAACACAGACTAAAATAGGGTATAAATCGCATCCACAAAGCATGACGCGTCTATAAATAGTATGGGTACTCATCCAAGGTAATATACATGGGATTAAAGTCCAACCGGAAATGCTGCAACCGTATTTCAAACTTCGACGACATCGGGGCAAAGTACATACTTAGTCATGTATACCACATGACGTATGTATATAGACGGAGAGTACTGGTGAACATTAATTAAATTCATGAATAAGCATCACCACCTGTGTAAGTGCAAGCGGTTAATATATACATAGTTCACGCGTCAATAAACGAAATGAAACATCTTCAAACACTACACCATGCAATAAACTTAGTGTATGCGAACACTCATATGTATAACACGAATTATATTGCAAAAATATTACAAATATATACAAAGATACAGTGAAAACACAACACAAATTACAACTGTATTCTGAAATGAAAGCACAATAGGATTTAACTGAAATTATAACACAAGAGGATTAAATTGTAATGATCAAACAATAAGATTAAACTGAATAAAGCAATAGTATTTAACTGAAATGATAACACAATATGATCGAACGGAAAAGATACCACAATAGGATTTAACTGAAATTATAACACACTAGGATCAAATTCAACTTACACAATAGAATTAAATTTGAATGATAAAACAATAGGATTAAACTTAATAACGCAATGGTATTAAACTGAAATGATAACACAAATGTATTAAAACTGAAATGATAACACAAAATGATTAAAATGAAATGATAACACAATAATATTGAAACAGAAATGATAATACAATAAGATTAAACGGAAAGGACACAATAGGATTAAACTTAACTGATAACATAACATGATTATACTAAAAATGTAATACAAAAGTAATTAAACAAGAATGCAGACAAAAATCAAATTATACTTCGATGATAGCGCACCACGAATTTGTTCAACACGACACGAGAGAACACTGACTCTGCTATAATGACAACTTGAAGTACTAATGATAAATAACAACAATATTCACGTTCTACATACGTATAGTAACATGACGAAGAGGTTACATTATTTAATGAGCTGACAGGGTATCGTGTTTAAAGATTTGTACTTATTTTGTAGGATTCTAAACGAACAGCATTCTATTTGGTATCATTGTATATTAATTACCTCCCTACATTATAAGGTGTAATATGATAGTCAGCCCACATACACCTAGAAACACCATTATATTAATTTCATTTGAATGATCTTACAATAATGCTATTGTGATGATAACAATTGTGGGCCAGGTCAAGACTAGTAACAGATTACGTGTCCCGGGACAGTTCACCGAGCTGATCCCTACTTACTTGCGTGCCACTTAGCGATTTTCAATGTATACTAAATGAACAGGAAACAATCAATGGTTAGATAGTTACAAAGTCCACTTTGGATCACCTCATGTATCTTCGGCCTATACATGATTTGGAAATGTTTAGAAGTCAAATTTCTCTATATTCATGATCAGAACACATCTAAAGAATTTTAAACTTATAATTGTTTTACCTATGTGGAAAGCATAGTAAACCAAAGCTAACTGTCATTTTGAATACAAAATGTAGCAAGGATTTATCCTCAAATATATTCATATACTTATAATGAAAGTTAAAAGATATAACGGAACCAGATGTCAATGTGTAATGATACTACAACGCAACACATACAAGATGTCTGATGTCGCCACAACGCGACGTATCCACATCGACAAAACACCTAGTTATAACACAACGTGACATCAACAAGACACCTAGTTATAACGCAACGAGACATCGACAAAACACATAGTTATAACGCAACGTGACATTGACAAGACATCTAGTTATAACGCAACGTGACATCGACAAAACATCTAGTTATAACGCAACGTGACATCGACAAGACATCTAGTTATAACGCAACGAGACATCGACAAAACACCTAGTAATAACACAAGGTAACATCGACAAAACATCTAGTTATAACGCAACGTGACATCGACAAGACACCTAGTTATAACGCAACGTGACATCGACAAATCACCTAGTTATAACGCAACGTGACATCGACAAGACATCTAGTTATAACTCAACGAGACATCGACAAAACACCTAGTAATAACACAAGGTAACATGGACAAACCATCTAGTTATAACGCAACGTGACATCGACAAAACACCTAGTTATAACTCAACGTGACATCGACAAGACACCTAGTTATAACGCAATGTGACATCGACAAAATATCTAGTTATAACGCAACGTGACATCGCCAAGACACTTAGTTATAACGCAACGTGACATCGACAAAGCACCTAGTTATAACACAACGTGACGTATCCACATCAACAAAACCCCTAGTTATAACGCAACGTGACATCGAAAAAACACCGTTATAACGCAACGTGACATCGACAAGACATCTAGTTATAACGCAACAAGACATCGACAAAACACCTAGTAATAACACAAGGTAACATGGACAAACCATCTAGTTATAACGCAACGTGACATCGACAACACATCTAGTTATAACGCAACGAGACATCGACAAAACACCTAGTAATAACACAAGGTAACATGGACAAAACATCTAGTTATAACGCAACGTGACATCGACAAAACACCTAGTTATAACTCAACGTGACATCGACAAAACACCTAGTTATAACGCAACGTGACAGCGAAAAAACACAGTTATAACGCAACGTGACATCGACAAGACACATAGTTATAACGCAATGTGACATCGACAAAATATCTAGTTATAACGAAACGTGACATCGCCAAGACACTTAGTTATAACGCAACGTGACATCGACAAAGCACCTAGTTATAACACAACGTGACGTATCCACGGCAACGAGGCACCTAGTTATAACGCAACGTGACATCGAAAAAACACAGTTATAACGCAACGTGACATCGACAAGACATCTAGTTATAACGCAACGAGACATCGACAAAACACCTAGTAATAACACAAGGTAACATGGACAAAACATCTAGTTATAACGCAACGTGACATCGACAAGACACCTAGCTATAACACAACGCGACATCAACAATACATCTAGTTATAACACAACGTGACATCAACAGAACACCTAGTTATAACACAGCGCGACATCGACAGAACACATAGTTATAACACAACGTGACATCAACAGAACACCTAGTTATAACACAGCGCGACATCGACAGAACACATAGTTATAACACAACGTGACATCAACAGAACACCTAGTTATAACACAGCGCGACATCGACAGAACACATAGTTATAACACAACGTGACATCAACAGAACACCTAGTTATAACACAACGTGACATCAACAAAACATCTAGTTATAACACAAAGTGACATCAACAGAACATATAGTTATAATACAACGATAACGCAACGTGACATCGACAAGACACCTAGCTATAACACAACGCGACATCAACAATACATCTAGTTATAACACAACGTGACATCAACAGAACACCTAGTTAAAACACGTGACATCAACAAAACATCTAGTTATAACACAAAGTGACATCAACAGAACATATAGTTATAATACAACGATAACGCAACGTGACATCGACAAGACACCTAGCTATAACACAACGCGACATCAACAATACATCTAGTTATAACACAACGTGACATCAACAGAACACCTAGTTATAACACAGCGCGACATCGACAGAACACATAGTTATAACACAACGTGACATCAACAGAACACCTAGTTATAACACAACGTGACATCAACAGAACACCTAGGTATAACCCAACGTGACTTCAACAAAACACCTAGTTATAAAACAACGCGACATTAACCAAACACCTAGTTATAACACAACGCAATAACGCAACGTGACATCGACAAGACACCTAGCTATAACACAACGCGACATCAACAATACATCTAGTTATAACACAACGTGACATCAACAGAACACCTAGTTATAACACAACGTGACATCATTATAACGCAACGTGACATCGACAAGACACCTAGCTATAACACAACGTGACATCAACAATACATCTATTTATAACACAACGTGACATCAACAGAACACCTAGTTATAACACAACGTGACATCAACAAAACATCTATCCCCATCAACAAAACACCTAGTTATAACGAAACGTGACATCGAAAAAACACAGTTATAACGCAACGTGACATCGACAAGACACCTAGCTATAACACAACGTGACATCAACAATACATCTATTTATAACACAACGTGACATCAACAGAACACCTAGTTATAACACAACGTGACATCATTATAACGCAACGTGACATCGACAAGACACCTAGCTATAACACAACGTGACATCAACAATACATCTATTTATAACACAACGTGACATCAACAGAACACCTAGTTATAACACAACGTGACATCAACAAAACATATAGTTATAACACCACGTGACATCGACAGAACACCTAGTTATAACACAACGTGACATCAACAGAACACCTAGTTATAACACAGCGCGACATCGACAGAACACATAGTTATAACACAACGTGACATCAACAGAACACCTAGTTATAACACAGCGCGACATCGACAGAACACATAGTTATAACACAACGTGACATCAACAGAACACCTAGTTATAACACAACGTGACATCAACAAAACATCTAGTTATAACACAAAGTGACATCAACAGAACATATAGTTATAATACAACGATAACGCAACGTGACATCGACAAGACACCTAGCTATAACACAACGTGACATCAACAATACATCTATTTATAACACAACGTGACATCAACAGAACACCTAGTTAAAACACGTGACATCAACAAAACATCTAGTTATAACACAAAGTGACATCAACAGAACATATAGTTATAATACAACGATAACGCAACGTGACATCGACAAGACACCTAGTTACAACGCAACGTGACATCGACAAAACACCTAGTTATAACGCAACGTGTCATCGATAAAACTAGTTATAACGCAACGTGACATCGACAAGACACCTAGCTATAACACAACGTGACATCAACAATACATCTATTTATAACACAACGTGACATCAACAGAACATCTAGTTATGACACAACGCAACAAAGACAAAACATCTAGTTATAACACAACGCAACAAATACAAAACATCTAGTTATAATACAATGCAACATCAACAAAACATCTAGTTATAACACAACGTGACATCAACAGAACATCTAGTTATAACACAACGCAGCGAAGACAAAACACCTAGTTATAACACAACGTGACATCAACAAAACATCTAGTTATAACACAAAGTGACATCAACAGAACATATAGTTATAATACAACGCAGCAAAGACAAAACACCTAGTTATAACACAACGTGACATCAACAAAACATATAGTTATAACACAACGTGACATCGACAGAACACCTAGTTATAACACAACGTGACATTGACAGAACATCTAGTTATAACACAACGTGACATCGACAGTACACCTAGTTAAAACACGTGACATCAACAAAACACCTAGTTATAACACGTGACATCAACAAAACACCTAGCTATAACACAACGCGACATTAACCAAACACCTAGTTATAACACAACGCAACATCGACAGAACACTTAGTTATAACACAACGTGACATCGACAGTACACATAGTTATAACACAACGCGACATCGACAGTACACCTAGTTATAACACAACGTGACATTGACAGAACACCTAGTTATAACACAACGTGACATCAACAGAACACCTAGTTATAACACAACGCGACATCGACAGAACACATAGTTATAACACAACGTGACATCAACAGAACACCTAGTTAAAACACGTGACATCAACAAAACATCTAGTTATAACACAACGTGACATCGACAGTACACCTAGTTAAAACACGTGACATCAACAAAACACCTAGTTATAACACGTGACATCAACAAAACACCTAGCTATAACACAACGCGACATTAACCAAACACCTAGTTATAACACAACGCAACATCGACAGAACACTTAGTTATAACACAACGTGACATCGACAGTACACCTAGTTATAACACAACTAGACATCGACAGAACACTTAGTTATAACCACTGTAAAACGATATAGAGTTTTGTTTTGTATTTAAAACACAACCCGACACCAACAAACAAGAGGCCCAGAGGGCCTGTATCGCTCACCTGAATATTTAAGCAGTCATAGCAAATTATTCTCATTAAATATTATATTGTACTACAAATATTTCATTCTTTTTATTTGCATGGAGGAGGATATTACACCGCGTGAATTCAGGGTTAATTTTGCGAAACGGAAAATGATTCCCTTGAATTCAGTGGCACTAATAAAATATTGCTTTATTGACTCCAGATACAGAAGAGTTCCAATACTGAGTTGTACTAAACACCACTGAAGACATGCATATAATACTGACACAGGCCGAATACATTACATCCTTCCCTTTATAAATGAGATAATTAACCAACAAATACTGTAGCAAGTATTTAATTAATCATAAACTCCTTGTGTCAACTATTATAAAGTCTCTGTATCCTTCATAATCTATAACTATACTGGCATTTGTATAAAATTAATTATAACAACTTATTAAAATGTTCTCCTGTGTTTCATTATTTTTAGTTTGAAATGAAGTTATTAAAACGAGCACAGTCCATAATTTTGATTAGAAAACTATTGATACATTTGTTTTCAATTTTCACACTCATCATCATAACAAAACTGAAAGTCTGTCCAAATTTATAAACACAGTTCAGTCACGGTATCGTGCTGGGATATTAATGGCACGTCCACTACGTGTGACTTTTGGTAATGGTTGTGAAGGATCAATCTTTTGTCCAGAAATTGGAGGCGTCGTAACGACCTCTCGTGTGTCGTTACGGACTATGACTTCCTGATGAACTGGGTCTGGAGCGCGTTCAAGGTCGCGTCTTGGGTAGTCGTAGACTGGTTCATAGTTCATAGTCCTACTGTCATATGTTTGATCGACTTCAGTACGCGCACGTGTTTGCTTCAAGTACCTCCTATTTCGACGATACTTTCGTCTGTTGCTTTCCACAACGTATGAGCGCGGAGTAGTATGTTGACGCTCGACAATACCAGCCTCCCAAGTTCCTTTTGCGGGGTGTTTGACCATGACATGGTCTCCTGGGTCTAGTGGTTTGAGGGGCTTTTGCATGGCATGTTTGTTAAAGTTCTCCTGTTGCCTCGCTTGGCGCAATTTGAGACTCACATAGATTTGAGTATTTGCATTGGTCGTCAACAAGGGTGCTGTCGCAGGTAATGGAGTTTTCAAGCGACGTCCTAAGAACATCTGAGCTGGCGACATTTCAACACCATCAATCCTGGTATTTCTATACTCCAGCAAGGCCAAGTAAGGGCCCTTCGCTTTAAACAACAGTCTTTTCCCTGTCTGAACCATTCGCTCCACTTGTCCATTGGATTGCGCATGATATGGACTAGTTGTTGTGTGTTCAAAACCATACTCGCGTGCAAATTCACGGAATTCTGCGCTTCCAAACTGGGGTCCGTTGTCGCTCATTACTTCGTCTGGTATCCCGTACTTCGCGATCATACTTTTTATATGTACAATGACGGATTTCGTCGTAATCGATTCCCGCTTTTGCACTTCTGGCCATTTTGCGAAGTAATCAACGGTGAGAAGGTAATGATAGCCTTTGAATTCAAACAGGTCCATTCCAAGTTTTGACCAGGGTCTTGAGGGCAGGTCATGCACGATCATTGGCTCCTTTGGATTCGCGTTTTGTTGTTTCGCACAGATATCACACTCGCTTACATAGTTTTCAATATCTTTAGACATTCCAAGCCAAAAGAAAATCTCCCTGGCGCGATCTTTACACTTTACTATGCCGAGGTGTGCAGAGTGAATTTTCTCCAGCATGTATCCTTTAAGGTTCTCGGAACGATTACTTTGTGAGATTTAAACAGAATGCCGTCGACACACGATATCTCGTCACGTATGTTCCAATATGGTCTCATAGTTGGCGATACACTAAGTCATTGGGCCAACCTTCTAAGACAGTATCCATAAGTAATTGCAGTTCCTGGTCGTTTGCCGTTTCCTTTTGAAGGCGGACATACATTTCCGGCATGATTGGTAAGTATGCAGTCAAGTGCACCTCGTTAACTTGTAGCTCAGGTACGAGCTGTTCTGTGGTTTCCCTCAAACACGACCGACCGAGGTGATCCGCAAGAAACATTTCTTTTCCCGGTTTGAAGACCACTTCAATGTCATATTTTTGAAGAGCTAGAATTAGTCTTTGAAGTCTTGGCGGCGCACTGAGGAGTGGTTTTTTGAAGATACTTTGCAAGGGCTTATGGTCCGACTCTACTTTCACACGTTGACCATATACGTAATCGTGAAACTTTTCACAACCGTAGAGAATAGCTAACGTTTCCTTCTCGATCTGAGAATAGCGTTGTTGTGTGTCTGTTAGGGCTCGCGATGCGTATGCCACAGGTTTTTCTTCTTGGATTATCACTGCTCCGAGTCCTTTCAAACTTGCGTCTACTGAGAGTGTGATTGGTTTGTTTGGGTCAAAGTATTGAAGAATAGGCGTATAAGTGGCCATTTCTTTAAGCTTGGTGAAGCTGTCCTCCTGTTCTTTCTCCCAGAACCAGGCAGTATTTTTTTCCAACAGTACTCGCATCGGACTACTTACATCTGACATTTTTGGCATAAACTTCCCAAGGTACTGGATAAAACCATAAAGGTTTGTAGTTCTTTGACGTTTGACGGGCGTTCCATCTCAACTATGGCACGAATTTTCTCAGGATCTGGTTTGAGTCCTTTACTTGTGAATCGATGACCCACATAGGTAACCTCAGGTTTACCTATTTCACCTTTTTTCCAAACTTAGTTTCAGACCGTATTCTCGGGCACGTTCTAGTACCGCAGCGAGCCGTTGGTCATGCTCCTCTTGGGTAACACCCCAGATTAGGATGTCATCAATGATGGCTTCTGTACCATCAATATCGTGCACCATTTCAGAAATGGCTCGTTGAAACACCTCTGGTGCAGAATTTACACCAAACGGAAGTCGCATAAATCTGTAGCGTCCAAATGGTGTGTTGAACGTACAGAGCTTGGAACTTTCATTATCAAGACGCATCTGCCAAAATCCAGATGTTGCATCTAATTTGCTAAATATCTTAGCACCAGGCATCATAGCAGCAACTTCTTCGACTGTTTTGAGGGTGAAATGTTCTCTCTGAATTGCCTTATTTAGGTCGCGAGGGTCGATGCACACTCTAATTTTCCCATTTGGCTTTGTGACCGTCACCATTGAATTCACCCACTTTGTTGGGTCCGTTTGTCGTATGATAACACCAATGTTTTCCATCCGGTCGAGTTCAGCTTTTCCTTTTTCCTTTATCGCGAATGGAATACGCCTTGGAGCGTGCACAACTGGTGGTATTGATGGGTCTACCTTTATCGTGTAGGTTCCCGGGAAGCATCCTAGGCCATGAAACACATCAGAATACTCTGGAGATATTCCCTTGGGCACGGATTGTGTTTCTTGTTTGATTGAGTAGATACATTTCACCAGATTTAAGTGCTCGCAGTCCTTTGATCCTAACACTGGTTGAGCATCTATGTCAACTACATAGAACAAAACATCTACTGTTCTATCCTTATACGTACAGGGGAGAACCACACTTCCCTTACTCTTAATGGTATGGTTAGAGAAAGAGCGGAGCGACATTTGTGTAGGGTTTATCGCAATGTCCTTGTCAATTTGTTGTAGAACACGAGACGGTATCACGTTACATTTGGCGCCAGTGTCTAACTGAAAGCTTATTGGCGTTTTACAAACATTAACACTTTCTGTCCACTTGTTCTCCTTGTATAACCCATTTATTTCCAGGTTGTCAGTATATATTGCACCCAAAAATAAATCATCGTCATCATCAGATACGTCTACAGTATGAACATGTTTGTGCTTCCTCTGTTTCTGATTTGAGTGTTGATTTGGACCTTTGGACAAGCATTTGTTCGCGAAGTGATTCATCTTACCACACGCATCACAGTTTTTTCCAAATGCTGGACATTGTTTGTATCCATGGTGTCGTCCACAGTTTCTACAGTCATAGGTATTAGACCTACCATCCCCTCTGACATGACTGTTTTTGGTTTGTTGTTGTTGGTGAGGCTTGTGTGGGGCACGGGCTTGTTTGGGGGTGTTCTTTTTAGTGATAGCATGAACAGTTTTTTCTTCAATACATTTCACTTGTTCTTTTGACAATTCAAATGTTCTCGAGTAATTCACAGCCTTTTCCAGTGTGAGGTCCGACCCTTCATTGCTGCATTTCGCTCTGACTTTATGATCCTTTGTCCCAAATACTATCGCATCCCGAATCATATCATCTTCTTCAGGATATCCACAGTTTTTAGCAAGTAATTTCAGATCAGTTAGAATTTTTTCAAACGTCTCAGTTTCTTTCTGAGCTCGGCTGAGGAACCGATATCTCGAATATACGCGGTTTGTTCTCGGTTTCACGTGTTTTTCAAATTGACGTTTGAGATGGTCAAACGACTTTTTCTCCTCCTCGGTCAGTGTCCATGTTGAATATATGTCTCTGCCCTTACCTCCGATCCAGATCATTAAATAGTTACATTTCTCTTCTTCAGATTTTGTACTCATAGGTCCTGCAAACCAGAACTCTGCATGCTGAATGAAGGTTCTCCATTCCTCCACAAGGTCCGTCGTCTCCCAGTTAAATTTGGGTGAGCAATTCATATTACCTGTTTCCATCGTTAATGTTGTATGTTATATGTTGTTTACCCGTCGATGACCGGTTATGTGAGCGATGCAGCTCGATTATTCTGACACCATATAATATTTACAACAGACGCCATGATTGCCAGACCGGAAACTGCTTTATTGACTCCAGATACAGAAGAGTTCCAATTCTGAGTTGTACTAAACACCACTGAAGACATGCATTAATACTGACACAGGCCGAATACATTACAGTACCGAGGACGGTACATTTGGGAGGAATGAGCTCGTGCTATGTTTTGAACACCACAAAAAAAAACCTTTATGGTTTTGAAAAAAGGGAAAGATATTGGCAAGGCTTTAGAAGCTGTAATCATACCTGAAACCGCAGGTGTGGATACCGAAAATATCTTGGACGACCAAGTGCCAGATCATTTGAGGGACATGCTTGAAGCATCTAGGTCGAACCTCAGTTCCGGAGAATTCAGTGACTTGTCCCAGCTTTTTAGCGAGTTGCAGGATGTGTTTGCCTAGCATACATGTGACTTGGGGAGTTTTAAGAAGATTGGGCACAATATAAACACTCGAGATGCCACTCCCATTAAAAAACAACACTGTCCCGAGGAAACAAGATACCGAAGCGTTACAACTTATAACATGTAAAGGATTAAAGAAATACATCAATATCGAACAAATTGGCTGCACAATATATCATATTTTATTGTAAAGATCAATACAGTGTATATAGTCAAATGTTAATTGCACAGAAATATCGAATAATCTTTTCATATACGTTACATCATAAAATCTGTCACGTATTTGTTTGAAATCAGCGCATTCAATCATAAAGTGTTTGGCTGTAAATGGTTGATCGCATGCATGACAATAAGGCTGGTCTTTCTTACGCAAAATGTAACCATGTGTGATGTAGGTATGGTCTATGCGCAATCGCAAGAGGACGATTTCCTCTCTGCGGTCTGCTCTACTTGTTCCACATGAACCCACATTAGGTTGAATTGCAAATAACTTGCTGTTTAATTCTTCAGACCATTTATTATGCCAATTCGTTTTAATAAAATTTGTTATAAAAGATTTAAAACCAGAAAAAGGCAGTTTAATATATTTCGGTTGTAGGTTAAGGGCTGCTTTAGCAGCTTTATCTACCTTTTCATTTCCGTTTATTCTGACATGACCAGGTATCCAAATCAAGATCAGGTGGCAAAACAATGAAATTCTGTTAATAAGAAGGGCGATGTTTTGTATGGGAATATTGTTCAAATTCCGATTTTTAATACTTTGTAATAGTGACAAAGAGTCGGAACAAACGATTGCTTTGTTAATTTTATTATTTTCAATTTCATCCAAAGCCAGACCAAGGACCCCGATGGAAAGGGTCACATAGACTTTTTGTGACCGCTTCCCAGGACGAAGCAAGGGAATGAACACATCCTCATGATGGTAGACAAGTTCACTAAATGGGTTTAAGTCATACCTCTACCCTCACAAACAGCAGAGGTGACAGCCAGGGATGCTGTCAACTCGTTCTTCACGAGGTTTGGGGTCCCGTTTAGGATATGCGCAGACCAAGGGAGGAATTTTGTTAATCTCAGCTATTTGTGATACCTTCTACAGGAAACCACCATTTATACAGACTCTGGTATGTCTCGGCCAGGGGACGGAACCCAAAGCCTTCCTCACAGTGGCGAACGCTCAACTAAAGGCCAAAAGTAAGGCATTGTCAAGGAAGACATGAGGAAGAAGAAAGTTGTTTAGAAAGAGAAAAGATCAGATCCAAAATTTAGTCGCCTCTTACGATCATGCAATGGGGGCACTGACAACGGGTGAACCAGTTGTAACCATTCCCCTTAATGCTGAACGTAAAGCAGGGAATAACAACTACCATTTTTAAGGACTTTGGTATGCCCCGGCCTAGGGACAGAACATATTGCTTTCCTCACATGGGCGAACGCTCAGCAGTCAAGCCAAAACCTGGAGGAAGGCCACTCCTTACCCCTAGCTCTACCCAATTGAGGAACACATTCCGGAGGTATTCTGAGAACGGAAGGCGCTGTCCGAGGAGATCACTCTCATCCAGTACTCTTTCTTGGTCAATATTGCCAAGTGTATGCTGGGACCTCAGGCTACCCTCCAGGAGATC